GCTGCACACATCAGCAAGAGGAGCCTTTACATCTTTGCACACCTCATCAGCTCGAGCTAAAAGCATCACTAGTAGCTATCAGAATCTGTACAACTGCATAACAGGAAGACAAGGCACATATTTTGCCTGTAGGTTTTATAGATACATGGTAATGGAAAAAAGAAAAGTAAAATTCCAAAATCCTGTGTTCAGATTTTATGCTCTGCCCACACGTCTTGTGCAATCATTTTGGCCAGTCTGAATTTCAAGTTTTTTCTTGTCTCTTTCTCCATTCTCATTCCTACTTTCCTTTCCTAGACTGCATCCCTACTTTTGAGGCCTCCTATTCTGCCTTTCATTCTTAATCTAATTTTAAACACGACCTAGTCCTTCAATTACAGTTTGCCACTTAAATACCACACTCAGGCTCTGCATTCCATCATACTCACCTTTCTTGATCACTTCTTTCAGACTTTCCTGCTTTTGCTCTCTTTGAAACTTAGTTTCCAAGGGAATTTTAATCCAAATTCAGTCTCCTGCTTCAATATCTTCTCCCAGTATATAATCCCAAGATTTTCCTGTTTTTTTTTTTTTTTTATGGTCTGAACAGGCTTCTGTCTTGAAGTCATTAGCAGCAAATGCTAATGCTAATGCTAATGCTAATGCTTTCTCTTCTTCAGCCTCTTTCCTGCTCCCAATCTCTTGGCCCTGAAGTTCCCTTGCACTGTCAGCCTTCCTTCCCCATCCTACTGTCAAAAACATCATCTCTACAATCTCCTACCCATCTTTGCAAGGCGTGAAGATGTCAGCTCTCTTCAGTACTCTTATAAGGACCTAGTAGGCCAAATGAATGACAATAAATTTGCCAGATGGCAGCCTGACAGGCATAACTAAGTCAGGTTAGGCTGATAAGTCATTTTTGTCTGTTGTGATTGGTTATAGCTTTCTTACCCTGTGATATTGGTAATATAGAGAAAAAGGTTATGAATTATAGTGAAGGAGTCATTGGCGAAACTATAGCAGCACAAGCCTCAAGATAAGAGACTGCTCTACATCCCTTTTGTCATTATATTCTGGATTTATCTTGTAAAACTTTGTCAACATAAAGACATATCCCACCAGAAGTCTACAGCAATAGTAATAACTAAGTACAATGGTAATATTTTCAGTAAAAACTGAAGATAAAAACATCCCTTCTCTGATGCCACAGCTGAGGAATTAAGTCCAAATAGACAAAGCCAGATTGTACTCTGTTGTGGGTAAGACAAGCTTATCATGGCAGAGATGTATTGCACTTTCAAATACAATGAATGCAACAAGACAACATTGTGACCTAGATCATCTGCTTTACTGTAGCCATCTACAAATGGCCAAATGCTTGTCTTTGTAGGAGCAGAATTTATAATATTTATGGAGGCTTTAAATACCACTGCTTTGAATTTCTTACTATTCTGGTATTTATCAAAAGTGCATGGGCTTTATTTGGCATGCAGGAGTTGTGCAGGAGCAGTCACTGTGCAGGACTGCTTCAACATCCCCAAATACCCAAGACAGTGCAGATCCCATCAAAATAGACAGCTTCTCATCCTTCTAAATTTACCAGAAGGACTGGCTTCTGTAAATGGTTCAGCTAGCTAAAGCTTCCCCAGGACACCACATGCTCCCCTGCCACTGATATTCTCTCACTCTTCTTATCCACTTCCAGCCCTCCTGCTGCCAAGGGAAACAAAAATGCAGTTCCCACCTCTCTCTGACCAGCAAACATTCTGAAGCCCAGAACAACACAAAGGAGATGTATGAAAACCAGAATTGTACCTCAATTATAACTGTTGCAGTTATTTTTAATACTAATTCTATTCTACTTTTCATTATCTCCGCTAACCTCTTCAAAACTCAAAAATAATTTCTTTCCCCCTACTGATTTTGTCATTTCCATTTGACAAAAATTGATCCCCTTGCACCCCTCTGTTTCCAGCTAAAACTAATGCATATTTAATTTGCTTCCTTTGAGCCCTAGCAAGAGCAAAGATGGTGACAGTGCTCTGGGAATATTGCACAATTTGTCCTTAGTATTCTGATAACAGAATGAGTGTATTCTGAATTTTATTGTTTATTAATTTCCAGTAAGAGAGGGGCAGATATATAAAAGGGTGAAAAAATAGACTTTTGAAAGCTATATAAACTGCAGTTAACGTGAATTTTCAACTAATTCAAGACACTCTAACTCATTAAGTTCCACTTTCCATTGCAATAATATGGAGTGTATTATTATTATTATTTGAAATTCTGTATATTTTCCTCACACTGAGACAGATATCCACTAATCTCTTCAAAAAGCCACATTGTACACCCAAGTGTACAATAAATGAACAGAAGCAAGCTTGCCCTATCTGATGAAGATAAACAGATTTACTCATCATATTCTCTCTGTTACTTAACACCCACTTTCAAGACATTAACTAACCAATATTTTCAAAAACCACACAGAGATTCTTTCACTCTGGGAAGAAATTTCACTGTTGGCGAGTGTTTTCCTGGTGAAAATATTGAGGATGTCAGGCAAAGGTGGTATGCCTAAAAGTCATACAGATTTTACTGTCATATACAAGTAGTAACTGAAGTGATCAGAAATTAATAGGATCCACAGTACTTACATAATTTTGGAACTTTGCATTTCTCTGATTGTAATGTCAGCCTACTCTGCCATGGCACAACTAATTCAGAAAACATTAATGTGCTTTTTTTATGTGGCACTGCCTTTGTGCATTTTTCAGTTTAGATACTGTTTGAAAAAAATTTCTGTTTTCTGTGCATCCATATAAAGAAAACATTTTGGCTGTAAGTTACATCTGCAGAAAATGGAAATGTCTTTCTTGCAAGACATGAGTAAAGAATGCCGTGCTTTTCAGTCAACTCCTAAAAACAATTTTATCTCTCCTGGCAAATCAAAGACAGAAAATATATGACTATAAACACTTATCATGGATAGCTGATTTGTTTTACATAGAGATAACTGTTGTACTTCATGATTCATGCTTGTGATTTGGAGTGAGGTATCTAAAAAAAGAATTCTTTAAAGTTTTCAGAACAAAATGTGTTATTGACTTAATTACAGAATATTGAAGAAGATGGCCTAATAGCCTTGATGTTTTCAGTATCACTCAGAGTAAAGCAGCTCATTGGTCATCCTCCAGATGTCTGAAAGTTTATCTCCCTTATACTGTTTTTTTAACTGATCTTAAATAATTTTTAACATCTAGCTCTGCATAATCACTTGCAATTTGCAGTTGGTGATGATCCCCTTGAAGAACAGGGACAATAAAGAATTTGAGGACTATGCTTAGTTAACAGACAGCAAAATTTAATATTGAGTAGCCACTTGCAGATCTAAAATGTAATGTTTAAAAAGAAAAGGAAACAGAAGCTTAGTGACAGTCCATTGCACCTCTTCACTCCTATTTGAAACAGATATATTGGAGAAGTTATAAAATTCTGAGGATAATAAAGGTTATAAAGTAAATGTTTGTATGTGTTAGACTATTATCCTCTGTAACTTCACTAATTTAAAAATATTTATGCCAATATAGGTGAAAACATATTTTTAATGTAAAATTTCATTTCTCAGGAAGGTAAAATCCTGGCTCATCCTTGTTAAAAACTTGAATACAGGAAGTGTAAGATCGTTGAAAAAAAAAAAAGAAAAACTCTGGTAGTATAAACTGATATGTCACAGTGGGCTCTTTGCACATGTGCAAAAAGGAGGGTTTCCATTTCACTCTTCCCAGAGTATCCTGGTTTTGGTATAGAAATTTTTCCTAATTTTAGTTAGTTTAAAGATATTTTGTATTTACTCTTCATTATTTTTTACAATAAATCTTAATGAAATAGAGCAAACCTGACATGATCAAATAGGAGGGGTAAGTAGTACCTGGTTGTGTTGCTGTGGTGCCAGAGTAATAGATCCAGTTCCAGACACAGCATGTAATTCCTTAATAACCTCAGACATAAATCCTCTTAGAAACTGAGTTAACTCTCTCCCTCTCTATCTAAAGTCCATTCCTTCTAGGGGAATGATATATTCCATTGTGACAGACTCCCTACACATTGCAATTGTGGAAAAATAGCATAGTGCTAACAAAAAAAATTTAATAATAGAGCTCTTTTATGACCACACGTAGGGGAAAACAAAGGAATCTGACAAGGTTTTGGAACATTGTTCTACTTAATTTGGTTATATATAACTCTTCATTGGTTATTAGGATAAAACTATTCAGATGCACAAAGGAACTGCACTTGGGACTTCTGCACTCTCTATAAAAATATTAATTTTGTTTTTCTGTTTCATTCACATTTCTCTTAATGTTTTTACAGCATAATGTTTTGTTCAGTGTTTTTCCAATTTTTAAATAAAATCATCTGATAAGAAGTTCTTCATGTATGTAAAGAAGCTGAATGAGAAAAATATCATGAAGAGTTGTGCTATGCCTAAGCTGTGCCTAATCCTTTACAGAAAACGTGCCCTACCAAAAATGAAAGAGACAACCATTGTGGTTCAATTCTGATCAGTCTTAGAGTAAATTTATTTATTTCAATGATAATTAGAAATAGGAAGATATAAGCAGGACTTTCTCTTGCCTCCTCCTACCAATCTGTGGAAATCTGTGGGTAAATACTCATGTCTCAGACAGAAAAATCAGAAAACATTTTATAAAATGAATCGACCAGAAGGAGAACTCTGAATGCTGAAACTACATACTAAGAGGGAGCAAAGATTCAAATTCACTTTGAAAATTTCCAGCCAACTCCACTGTCCACCTCTTATTATAAAGACTGGAGGGCTGATGCTTGACTCCAAATCTCAGAGACTAAACAGGAAACCAAAAAGCGCTAATATCAAACAATTCAGGATCTTTGGATGTGACACATGAACAGTCAGCACGGTTATGGACATCCAGGAAAGGTATGAAAACAATTAGAAAATTGTATTAGCAGGGCAACAAGAAAAGTCTATTTCCTCTCACCTTTTTCTTCATTTTTACATTTTTGAAAATTGCATGGACTCTCCACGTTTTTGCAAACATTGCTCCAAATGCAGTTGTGTATCCCACTGTAAGAATCCATGTTCGGACCTAAAAATGTATATACATAAAAAAAAAGACAAAGTTACTTAGATATCATAATTTCAGACAACTTTTTTGTCAAGGCTCTGAGAAAAAAAAATCTGAAGAACATCACAAAACTTGGTATTTAGTAATTTCTCATTCATTGTTTACTTGGTTTTTTTACTCATCTATCCATTACTTCCCTAACTAAAACAAATCTGGATGCTGAATTAACTATCTATTTTATATATAAACCCAAAAATATCTTAAGATAATCTGTTTTTTCTATTTTTTTTTCTTTTTTTTTTTCTTTTGCTTTTATTGTGTTTGTTGCAGATAGAGGAAAGAACCAATGGAGGAATGCATGAGACAGACTATAAAAAGCACTCAGGGAGCTAATATTAACAGCAACATTTTGAACAGAAATGAACAGTGAAATAGAGATGTAATTCAGACTAAATAAAAAAGAATTGCATTATGTGAGATACACATCACGCAATGAAAAACCTGAGCATTCTGGAAAGATAAGAACAACAGATTTTAAATTATTCTATGAGAAAAAAAATGGCAAAACAGGAACATAGTTTTGGTGGGCAAGCCTCTGGAACAATGCCTGAGTCAATGATAATACCTGCAAATGTGGCCTAAGGAAAAGGAGTTTGCACAGAGCAATGGTGTAAAAGGATGTGACCTGGCCACAGCTTTGACACATGCAAAACAGCAGATTGTAAAACTAAAATAGGATTTATATCTTTAGTGTAAAAAAGAGACTAAGATTTTTCCTTGGTTGGCTTTTTTTTTTCTTTTTTTTTTTTTGGTGTGTGTGGGTTTTTTTGTTTGCTTGTTTGGGGTTTTTTTGTTTGTTTGTTCTGTCTGGTTTTTTTTTAATTTTTATTTTTAATAGAAAATCTTCAAATTGACCAAGAAGGACAGAACATAGATTAAAAAAGCTTTTTCTGCAATTCCTCCCCTGCCCATAGCATCTTTTGGACTTGGTTTGAGCTAGGACAGTGACCTTCAGAGTTGCAGTAAGCTCTGCACAGCCCTCTCTAATTCCTTGGAAGTTTCTGTTTTCATTACCGTGCAGGTTTGGCTGTCTGAAATCTTTTTTCCCCTGATCAGGTCATTTTCTTCCCAAAGACGGATCAGAGACTACAAAGCATAGCAGGTAGAAGACCATGTGAGAGGCACAGCATGGAGCTGGAAGTCAAGAGTTGAATCTGAGATCCTGAGAAATCACAACGAGGAGGAATAATTTCATCCTCCTTCTAGAGATTCAACCAGCCCATAACAAGGGAGACTGCACAAAATTGAACAAAGAAGTAAAAAACCAAAGTACTCAGCCTTGCAGACGAAAAAATTGGGGGAGAGACAATGGCTGAATACAGGGAAAGAAAAGCTTGGAGAGGGGAAAGCCAGCCTTCTTTTGGCCATGCTGACCATGCATAGCTGGCCAGCAGAGCTGTTTTGTGATATAAAAAACCAATCTGATTTAGACAAACTAGGATGTTCTAAGAAAGCATTTGGGAAATAGTCTTTAGAGAACCTAAAGGCAATGATTTTCATTAGAAACCAGCCTAGTTTCACATCTACCTTCTGGAGAGTTTAAATTTGTAATTTCAGGATATGCATATTGATGAGAAACTAGGCATTCTAGTAAGATTCAAAACTAGACATCTAAGGTAAACCTTAGGAATAATCTAAATGTTTCATATCTAAATACATGCTACCTGTTTTTTTTTTTTGTCTTTTCTAACTCTTCCAGAATTTCCATTTTTGTATTCAAAACATGATCTTTTTGCACAAAATTTTCTGTGGAAAACAAAATATCATTTTTAATAGTGTTTAGTGACTAGGTATAAAGGCAGGGAAAAGAAAAAAAAGATAGACTCATTCAAAAATTATTGATAAAGCAATAAAATTACTGCAGTTCATTAAAATAAATAAATAAGTCACATGTGGTCCAAAATGGTGAATTAGCAAGAGTAAAGTGGTTCTTCACTGTGAGAGTTGTGAGGCACTAGAACAGCTTGCCCAAAGTTGTGGTTGCCCAACTCTGAAACTGTTCAAGGCCAGGCTGGATTTGGCTTTGAGCATCCTGGTCTAATGGGTGGCATCCTTGCCCATGGCCATGGAATTGGAACTAGATGGTATTTAAGGCACCTTCTGACCCAAGCCATTCTAGGTTTCTCCGAAACGTGCAGACAGCACCATGAGTCTTAACATTAGAAAATGTTGTGATTGTGTATAGAAGACTGTTTAGATATTTATGTGTATATATTAATGACTTAGTGGCATCTAATGTTGTGGTTTATCTGTTGCATTGCTGATAATGACCCTGAAAGTAGAGTTGCTAGTAATAAAACCTGTAAAACAATTGTGATTAGATTCAAACAAGAGGAATTTTGCTACTTTGTGACATTCTTGAATGTGATATTAAGAAAGAAACCCCTAAACAAATAAACAAACAAACAAAAATAGAAAAAAAGAGAGCTATTTAGACCAGTAAAGCATTATTTTTAACTTCAATATTTTTCAAGTCTTTGCTGATTAACCACTATCTTGTATTATGCTTCAGCAATACCACAGTTAGATCAACTCTGAGGGATTTAAAAAATACTTTTCATATCATCGTGTTCACACTAGCCAGTTACATTTTTTTTGACTTCACATCAATAACCATACTTAGCTTTCAATCCCTTTGCTGTTATTAATAAGTATTCAGCTCTTTTGTGTACAGCTTAGTGGTATATTTGGCAAACAGATACATGGTATTTTTGTGTCTCTAATAAGACTGTTTTGTTCTCACTGAAACAGTAATTGTCTCTTGGGAATACTAATAAATTCAATTATGCTCATAATATGTTTCTAACTCAATATTCAGAAAGATGTTATTTCTGGCATGTTTGACTCAAAAAATTTTATGTATTCCTGATTGGGACTGTGCATATTAGAATAATATAACTACTGTCTATATTGGAAACATTCTAGCTTAAATATACCAGGATTTTGTCAAAATGAGATCATTGTTGCTGAGAAGGAGATGGTAAGTTTCAGATGAAAATAAATTTTTAATTTTGAAGAAAATGACCTCAGATTTATCTGCTATAATTCATTAATGCAGCTGGCGAAATGAAAAATTTGGAAAACAGCAAAAGTCTGAAATTCTTATTTCTGCTCATTTATATTCTTAAATGTATTATACCTCCATATCCTACTCATTTGAAAGAACATGATAAAAATATTAGTAATTGAAGAGCATGACCATGATGTTATAGAACTGATCAGTAATTCTCTCATGTTGGAAGCTTCTAACAATGCGTTTTGCCAGAAGCTGAAGAAAACCACCCTTCTCTCAGTAACCACCTAACAAGCAGGAAAATGTCTCTTTAGTAGACAAGAACTTGCATTCAAATACCTGTTCCTAAGCAGGCACAAAACCTGAAAAGATTCTTTCTTTTTTTCTTAAATGGTTAAGTCTTTACAAAATTCTTGATGCCTTCAATTATTTTAGGGTATACTTTCAACTATCTGCTTATACATCTTGGTTCCCTTTTATTTTTTGAATAAGATGTGTTGACTATTTGAATATGTTCTACAAATATTTTGTTTTCTAAGACAACATGCAAGTGTCAAAGGGAATTATATAATTTGGTATACAACAATCAAATATTCCTACATAAATAGTAAATGGTGTTCCCTATGTCTGTTTTATTTTTAGGAACTACACTATTTTGGTTTAGGATCTATTTTTGAAAACACCATGTAGGAATTTTTCCTTTTACAAATTACTTGATAGAAGATCTTAGAAGTGCATTAACTGGGATAACAAAAAGAAAACCTAGAAAATATTTGTCTGGTGGACAGCACAATTGACAAAGAGTAAACACTGAAAATATCTCCACAAGAAAGGAGATCTTTCTGATAAGGTTCCAGACTTGAAACAGATATGACTGTTATTTAAAAAAAAACACAGTACCTTTGTCAAATATTAAATTTGAAACAAAGATTGTAAGTTTCACCTGAAGAGTCACTGCATTTATGAACAAGTTGCTCCTTACATCTTGTAGGAGTATCACTTTTTATTTTTCTGTGTCAGTAAAACCCCTCTGGTTTTAACCTATCCATAAGGTGCTAAATACCTTTTATTTTTTTCAAGGAAGACAATTCTTCTGCCACATAATAAGCATGGATAGGTTAAGAATCTTAAGTAAATTTATTTTAAATTAAATCCTATTTCCTCTCAACCTTGAGCTTTGGCAGGCTAGTTTATATTTGCTGCTATTTGATATCTTCACACAAATCTGAGCCTCTCCCATCATCTCATTATAGGAATGGTGAAGTGGTTACTAATTATAAATCTGTGTAACAGACATAAAAGTTACCTGATATTACCCCTCATTATTAATAAAAGAAGTCATCTTATTGTGAACAATGAGTTAGTAAGGGGAAATTAATAAGTGGTGAATGTGCCAGAAACACTCTGCATAAAGAAGTAAAAATCTCTGTTTATGTATTCTAAGAATGAAGCTTACAAAAACCCCCAAAATTTTAGGCTACTAACTTTTAGATAAAGAACAATATTATTGGAATTAATTTTAAATATTTTATTTTAGTATAATTACAATTCTATATAAAATTATAAGGTTATCTTGGAAAATGAACTGAATTCATGAAAAGTTAAAACTTACATTTTTCAAGAAGTTCCACTATTTTCTTTTGTTTGACCACCCTGCCTATGCATTCAGAAGATCACACCGTTAAAATCTGGCAAGGAATGCCTGGGAAGGTCTTGAGCTCATGAAAATGGTAATAGCAATTTCAAATGTAGTTGATCAAAGAAGTGATGCATTTTACTGCTTTGTTAAATTGAAAGAAAGAAATATAACCACCTGAACTGAATACATTACACACTGTTTTTTCATGTTGCAGCTTTGTTAAATGCTATGTTAATCCAGGTTGCCAATCTCAAGCAAAAAAAGAAGATGGGATTAAAGACTCAGAGTGATGATAAAGAAACCCAAGTA